ATACTGCAGTGGTGCCATCAAGCAGAGTGCTGGAAAGGAAGCAAGCCATTTTACAGAGCGGTTGCCTGAAGAGAATTATACTTGCACTTGGAGTCTGAGACCAGAAGAATGCATCTGGTCTGTCCTTCACATAGAGCAATAACAGTACTGCCCTGTCCTAAATGCCTGAAAGTCACTTGATACAAGCATTCATGCAGAAAATAACAACTAAAGCAAAGACACTAACAAGTTCGTATCTTATCATCAGAGACCTGAGCAAAAAGCAGCCAGGGTCTCTAAACCTTAATCTTTTTGGACCAACCATCATCGACTAGGACCATCGCTAGTAGCAGAATAATATAACTTATTTTGAAGGAGTACTAGTGGTGCCACAAAGCCTAATTGTTTGTCTGTCCTCTGTAGGAATCAATAATCAAGGCAGAAAAAAGAAGTAGTGGTCTGTCTTGAAGGATTTTGTGAGTTATTTTACAGTAAGATTGTGTACAATGGAAATAGTCCAAAAGACACCCCTATGATTAAAAAAATAAAGAATTGGAGCTGATGGGGATTAGTTAAGGGCGAGGATGAAAAACACAACAACCTATGAAAACATTTCTTAATGTCTAAGTCAAGCAATTAATTTCTCAGGAATTAACTTCTTGGATCTGAAGTGCTTTATGATAGAAACAACAGCAAATGAAAAGTGAGTTGACCAAACTCTGAAGAGAAACAACAGGAAACAGGACTTTCAGAACAGTTGCTGAATGAGGTAGAATATAACATATGAAAGAGATGCGGGTATCAAAGTGATTTCAGGTGCAATTAAAATCACTTGTAAGGACAGCGTGGGGAAGAAATTTTTTAAGAAGTTGTGTGTTTTGCTTTAGGTTACAATGCAAAATGTTGCCAATAGCATGAAGGAAAAACAAAGCAAGTCTTTTAAAACAGGCTAGTTTACATAAGAGGGAAAGCTTAATACAGAAGAAAATATTTATGCTGTGTTCCTTCTTTTCTGATAACGAAGTTGGTAACTTGCTTGGACTCATTTTTAAAGTGTCAAACCACTGCATCCATGAACTGCCCACCATTCCTCCAGATGGTTGCTTTTAACAACATCACTGTCTCATTTACTTTTCAGTGTTCCATTAGTTCTGCAGTCAAGCACTGCTCATCTGGCAGATGAAGATCAAAATGTCATTTTGAAATGGCAGAATTTGTGAATTTATGCATGAATAGAGTGTCCAGCTTTTATCCACCCAGTTTCTTCCTGTGTCTTTCCAATGAGAAAAGTTTTAATTTACTGCCAACGCAGCTGCAATTATGAATGTTTTATTATTACTACTCTGACCAGGATTAGTGTTCTGGGAAAAAAAATCCAAACAGAACTCTAAGTGTTTGCAATGGTCTATTAAAATTCCACTACCTTCTGTGGAAAACACAACACCAGACTTCAGATACAGTAACATAAATGTTAAACTATTAAATTTTGCATCATGGTAAGACTATTGGAAAAAAACTTATCCATTCTTTCATGCAGCAAAATCCCTATACACTGCAATATCTTTCCAAAGTATATTCCTACCTTCCACAATGAACAGAGAAGCATCATACTACAATATCCCTTCCTTCCATTTTCCCCGTGTCCAAAAATCACTCTTTTTTGCTTCCTTTCCACTAATTGTGGAACTCTCCAGAGTAAAGTGAGCAGGAATTGTTTATATCCATGGTCTCCAAGGTGGAATACATGCAGCCCAGGGAGCGTGCAAGACAATCCACTGGAGGGCAGGAAGAAAATAACAAATAATTTTTAAAGTTTATTAATAAATTATTAGTGGTTTTAATTTAGTTAATAAACTAATTTTAAGTAGTGTTTATTTCACCTTTCATAGAATCATAGAATCATTAAGGTTGGAAAAGACCTCAAAGATCATCGAGTCCAACCGTCAACCCAATCTCATCCTTTTTAAAATTTCTATTGTGCATGTTTTATAGTTTGCATAACATATTACAGTAGTACATGCCTATAAATTGGAACAGGCTGCCCAGGGAAGTGGTGGAGTCCCCATCCCTGGAGGTATTTAAAAGACGTGTAGATGAGGCACTTAGGGACATGGTTTAGTGGGCATGGTGGTGTTGGGTTGACGGTTGGACTCGATGATCTTAGAGGTCTTTTCCAACCTCAATGATTCTATGATTCTATTCTGTTCTATGATTCTATAATTTATAATAAATAAGTATACATATATTGGAGGTGCGTGCTCAAAAAAATAATTTTATTGATGGGGGTGCACAATCAATAAAGTTTGGAGACCACTGGTTTACGTGACTTCAGCACCAGGAAACTAAAGCAGCATTTCCTCCTTTGCTAGAAGGAGGTAAAAAATAATGGAGGAAGAACTGCATGCAGGAAGAAGTTTTCAAGTGGGCTGCATTTTTCAGTTACTTAGCTGCAAGTTTAATCACAGGCAGTGAATGATTTTTCAGAAACCGTTAAGTGCTTAGTTCACACTGTCTAGTAGTTGAGCAACCCTTGAAAATCCCATGAGATTCTGATTGGATCTAGAGGCTGCCAAAGGCCATTCAAAATCTTACTCTGGATGATTTAGGTTCAAGTCCACTGACTTTCGAAGAGATTTAAAATTCTAAATACACAAAATTCAGTTTCAGCAATAACTTATGCCACTGCATCACTTGGCCAGTTTTCTAATGCAGATGTAAAAAGTCAGCCTATTTATATTTAAATTCCTTTCAAACATTCACAAAAAAAAAATCCCTGCTAGTCACTCAACATACTTTTTTTTTTTCTTCTTAAAATCGCCTACTAAAATATTCACTTCATTCCTGTAATGGCCACGGATAAATATCAACGAAGTGAAACATTAAAGCTGCTAAAACTTCGGGGAAGTTTTACTTAGTGGGTACGCATTATTAAGAAATAGTGAAGCAAAGCAAACCATGTTGACAAGACCCTCTTTTTAAAAATTAGGTTATCCTGACTAATCTCTTTTTTTCTACCATTTCTGTTCCAGTGAGAATGGCACTGAGCACTTTATTCAAGAATTATACATTTTGAGATAAATTCCTTTACTCCACCTGAAAAGTTTCCAAGCAGCATGTAGCATTGATTGCAGCTCTGAAATTTTTAATATAGTATCCTCTAAAAATCAGAGTTCAATCATTTATTTTAAATAGCTAAGAGAGCAGCTAGAGTAATGCAGGTTTTTTACATGACATTCCTCTCATGTGCTTTGATGTCAAACAATGAATGCTATGAAACAGAATGCATAACGAATTTGTTTTTCTAGTCATGCATCACATCCCTCCAAATTCTAGCACCAAGAGTTCACAGTATACGGTAATTAAAACAGACACTTTTCTCACAGAGCAAGGGACTACTGCGTGACTGTTTCAGGATTTACAGCACCAATTTAATAGAACACTTAATCCCATGCTGACCTTTGGGCATATAAGAACTCCATTTAAATAAAACTACCCATGCTGAAGGCTAAGCACTCCTTGAACTAATACCCATAATTACAGAACCCAGTAAATATCAGTAACAGATCTGTGGCCCCTTCTGCAGTTCTCCTAACAAAGAGGTTGTATCCTGACAGACCAATAGGCTATTCAATCTCCAATATGATTCTAGGAAAAATGCTTTCATCTGCTCTTCATCTCCTCACCCGGCAGTTTATACAAGGCAAAAGCAGAAAAGCACATATGCTACCCCTGCTAATATAACTGACTGTTCTGTTTCTTCTATGGAAGACTTTCATCCTCTTGTTAGTCTTAACTATCACGCCACACAGTGTGCAACAGGAGAAGCGAATAGCACAGACTGTTCACACGTAAACACCACAAAATAGTTTCAGATGTCTGTCTTACCTTTTCATCCCATCTACCTTTCTCTTCTGCCTTTGCATTTAACAACAGAACACCACCACAAATGCATTCAAGTGACCTTCATCAGATCAACCATCCTTTTAGGCATGCATGTCATTACTACATAACCTTCCTCATCTCTTCCTAGGAAAGAATCTAACCCTACAGCCCTCTGCATGGGGCAAGCTTTCACACTGTCCTCACTGGAAAGGTTCCCAGGAAGGTACAGCTTCAACATAAAATATTCTTTCATTTCATCTTCAGGGGATGCTTTTCAAGTCTAATGATGCCTTTTTTTACCAACCTTTTCTCAATATTTTCTGGGTTTGACCACAAACACACACACAAACCAGCTTTTAGTTTATTGACTTGCTTCTGAACACGATTTTATTTGTCCTTAAAACACTTTACTAAAGAAGAGCAGCAGAAAAAGCTAAGCTCACTCTTGAAGTACAGAAAGGTTAGTACGGTTGTGCAAAGCCATATAATTTATTTCACTTACTGCAATGAGACTGTGTCTTCTCAAATGGGAAGGCAGAAGCAGAGGGTTCTCGGCTATGCCTGTTCTTAAGATCCTTAGCTAACACTCAGGTAACCTGGGAATGGTACATATCTATGCCCCCACGCCTTTCAAGACAGATGTTTGCTCAGGATTATCTTCCCTCCTCCCTAATTCCTGTGCTCTGAATGAGAGTTTTGCCCATATCTTCCTGTCAAACATAGTCACGTATCTTGGAAGCTGCAGCCATATTTTCCTACCTCTCTACTTTCCAAAGCAAGTTTTCCACCAAATTCTTTTCTTTCCAAAGAAGATGTCATAACTCACCCAGCAGAATGATCTTTAGAAGCTCATATATACTCTGATATACCAGTAACCTGATGATGCACAGAGGCTGCATCCCTCTAGTATGTATATGCAGGTGCTACTGCATTTATGAAGATGCTAGGCCCTCCGATCTAGAAGCACAATAATACTTCAGGGACAGAAGCCAAAGGATGTCTGTCCTTATTTTCAAGAGAACCGCTGCTCAGGTGAAACTGCAAAACTCTGCGTCCAACCAGTATCAGAAAGAAAGAACATGCAATAAAGACAATTTACTGTTTTGGTGCCATATGTTGCTGCTTTTTAGATATCCTACCTGTTTGTGCCACCAAGTGGGTCCAGCCACTCCAAACTGCTCCAATCTTGTCATGTGAGAAAAACTGAGTCTCAATCTTCTTGGGCACAACAAGAAAGATCTCTTTGCTCACTAGCTGCCCGTGTTTGTTGCTACCCCAGACATACAGGTGTCCTTCATCTACAATACACAGAGAAGTAAAATTTGTTGAAAGTGATATACATAGAACACCACCAGATACAGGCTCTGTCTCAACTCAGTGATGCTAAGGAAAGAACAATGTTTCATTCAATTTGTGTTTTCACTGTATGCTTTTTCCTACCACTCTTTACCATGTGCGTGCACACTGTAACTAGGATATCAGAAATATTTGCAAGGGCCTTAAAAACATAGCCCATTTTCTGAGGGCTACACTAACTCCCTGAAACAACGAGAGCTTTCAGGTCAAACTGCCTAGACCTCATTTCTACTGTGAGCCTCTCAAAGACGACTGAAAGATGTTTATAGCAAAGGCCAAGTTTTATTAGAAAACTAACCACAGTAGTGAACTTCTCTGAGAAAAAAAAAAATTAAAGTATCCTGGGGACACTCACTGAGCAGTCCCTCTCAGTCTAGTCTGTTCTTGCAGGCCAGCTTTTACCTCCATCCCAAAGCTTTGATTCAGTCCAGTAAATAACTTTCTGAATTGAAGCAAATAATTTAACTCCCCCTCCACTATCTGGGACTCTTCAAAGCCTGGCTGGCTGCTCCTGCTCTGCATTACAGCCTCCCAGCCTCTCTACAAGAGCTACAGACTCCTAGCTCTGCTCATAACTCTTCTGTCTTCTTCAGCTTAAGCAAATTCGATAAATCCCCCAAAGCAGGGACAGTCTAATGCTCTTTGCCTCACCTTGCTCAGTCACTTCCTAAAGGAATGTGACATGCAGCTATGAACATACAACTAAAGCAGGTACCACCCATCGCAAGGCAAAATTAAAATATTATCATGCCTCAAAACAATGCTAGACAACTAATGAGAGACTTCTGTAAGTAATTACTTGTCTTCCCCCACCTCTTTTCTAAAATAAGCATTTGTGCAAGTGCACACTCCAGGATTCCACCCACAGGGATAATTATATTTACAGAAACATCCACGTTGCTTCATATGTTTCACTGGTGCGAGTTGGAGTTGCTCACAGCCTAACGACCAATTGACAGTAACAAGATGACTGTTCAGATGAGTCCTTCTGCAGATATTACATATCATTAGTTCAATCTTTTCAGCACAAAATCATTCCACCCAGGTTCTAGGCTTCCATGTTAAAAAACTATAATCCACAAGAAACACTTAACAGAACATGAGCTGCATCAGGCCTCCTGAGGTCCTTTGCCACCCTGTACAAGCTGCAAGCATAAGAAATAAATCTTGCACACATGAAGTACGTGATCATGGGCCCAGAAAGACTGGAAGCCATATAATTTGCAACATGGAATCGTTCGGAGCACACATCCACAACATACAAGGCTTCTGGAAGTCTCAGGTCAGCACTGAAGTCTTTACAAGCAGCATGAGGTAAGTAAATCTTTCAGAGAAAAAAAAATAAAGTAGGACTTAGGCTACAATATATTTAATGATCTCAGTTTGGTAACAGTAACAGAAAGAATGAGCCAGGAGAATTCCACTATAGTACTGCTGGTGAAAAACGAGAGAGAAGGAAGGGAGGGGAAAAAGCCAGTACTCGTCAAGTTACACATTATTGACAGTCATCTGCAGGACTTCCCACATTCCTCAATAAAACACCACCACTGAAATGGAAAGGAAAAACAAATCAAGCAATTGTTTCATTCGAATTCTCCACTAAAATTGATAAATTCCTTCCCAGAGTGAAGTACATACACTTTCTGGAGAGAAAAAAAAGAGGTGACAGAAACAGCTTGTTTCAACAAAGAAAAATATTATGGCCACTCATGTTTCCACAACTAACATGCACTGCCTCTGTCACCTCCTTTTTTTCCCATCCAGAAGGTGCATTTCCTTTACCCTGGGAAATGTCATATGCTCAACCATTATCTCATTTTTTGAGTAGGTTTTAACAAAAACTTAGACACCAAGACTTAGCACCATATTCCCATCACTGGAGGTTTCAGACCCATTTGGATACAGGTAGACTATGATCCTTTTTTTAAAGGAACTGCCATTCACATTTGCAACAACCCTGCCTGGGTCAAAAATCTGCCTGATCGCAGGTGTTTGGTATCCTACCAACAGGTGGCTCATGAAACAGAGCCAAAGAAAATTGCATCACAGTGTGAGATTCCTAGAAAGAAATCCCCATTTAAATACTACGCCCTGCAATAGGATCTTTACTATATCAAGTATGTTTAAAATACAAAGTATTTTAAGTAATAACAAGTATCTTGCAGGATGAAGAGCAGCAATAGCATCACATTATTAAAATCTTTGGCACTTACTTTGTTAATCTTGGTCCCCCTGCTGCCAAATAGACTGCTCTCTTAAATAAAAAGCGAAAGCATGAAAGAATAATCTGTTCGCTCTCTAAATAGAGTGCTAATTAGCTAAAGTAGATCTATTTGTCCTTACAGTTCTTCACTAATCGCACATACATTTTGCATCTCAGAATTCAATATAATTTACATCTTGTAACATCTCCCATACAACTAAATCTCTGTAGATCTGCATAAGCAAATACTCCAGTGCTCCATTTAATGGTGACAAAGGTACCAGATGGCTGCATATTTGCTAAGAACTTGTTCCTATAAAGTTTGGCAAAGACTTGTCTTCATAAGGTTCAATATATTTTCCACACTTCAAAACTTTAAGATTACAGCATGAAAAGCTATTCTCTTTCCCCTTCCCCCAGTCTGAAAAAAAAAAAAAAAAAAATCTTTATTAGACAATTATTACTAGATACTTAATACCCCAGCATGGGAGCACTGCCTAAAGATCAAAGAACATGATGGCAGACATCATGGAAGTGCCTAAGTGATTGAAGCAACTTCCTACTGCTTTAAATAAGCCTTATGTTCTTACATTACCTCACACAGATCTGCACACGGTTATATTAGAGCCACCTAAGATAGCTCCAGACCATCTCAAGTCCCTGCACAGCACAGCCCCATGCAGAGGCATTAGCTCACGTAGCAGAAGCAGGATAGCCACAGCAGTCTTTCTTGAGACAACCACTTAACATACCCTTTCTTCATGGACAAAGGGTTGCACTGGTTCCAGCACTCAGCCATCCAGAGTTACCCAATGCAGCATCACGCTGCAGCTCCAGAGACTTACCCAACCATGTGCTTCCACAAATCCTTTCAGAGTTTCTAACCGTTAAGTAAAGAGCCCAGACCCTTACTTACTCATAAGGGCTAAGTCACACCTGACCCCAAGAAAAAACACAAAGAATTCAGAGAATTCAAAACATGAATCCAGCTCTTAAAAAAACGAAAGTTCTCAGAATCCAAAACTACTATGAAACAATTAACCAGCACTAACAACCAAATTTTACCAGTCTAACCAAAACTGACAAACATTTCCAAAGCACAAAAACCTTTATAGGCCGAGACAAGGACTTTCACTTGTATACCTAAGGCCTACCTGTGAGTGACACGGAATGATAGGAGCTTGCAGCAACCCTCTTCACCTTTACATCTTCCAGGCCTAGAGAAAAGTTTGTCTCATAAAATTTGTACAGCAGATATAATTTCATACATAGACATAAAACAGAGCTGTATCGAGTGTAACAGGATGATGATGAATTTTATAACAAAAGCATCTGCTTCTGGGCCATAGACATTGCAAGACTCACTATCATTTCCCCCCACAGATTGTGACCTTGTATGCCCATTCTACCCTTCAGATACTCCACTACATGTTTATAATACCAAGTGGCTTTATAATAAAAGGATGCTACCTGTCACTCCAAATTATATTTCTGCTCTATCCACCTTTATAAAGGAATCAGATTCCTGGATTACCTGTTACTTCACAGGGCTCCTTTGCTGTCAAGAACAGGGGGAGGGTTTTTCCTTGGTTTGCACGCTTTGCCCGAGACGCCATGCCAGTTCCCCACTGAAACACCAAACCGCTCTCTTTCCAGAGTAAACACAGATAGAAGATATTAAAACACATCAACCACCAACAAAATCACTTAACTTAATTAATTAGTTTTAAAGGTACATTCACTTAATTTTCACTGATTCAAATTACACTTTAAAAGACCTTTATGTCAAAAACATACTTCATAAATATACGGATAACCCTGGTGAAGTCATCAAGCAAACAGTTGTAGTCTCATTCATACAGGCAGGAAAACTAAGAAGCTACTAAGCAACCTGTCTCAGCTCTCTGAGGCCTATATCAGGACGTTACTGAGGACTCAGTAACAGAAGTCCCGTAGCTGTAGCGCCTCAGGAACTGACACAATTTATTTATTACTACAAGTTCATTGCACTCTCTCTGCCCTTTCCTTCTCTTCATGCTAATTCGTTTGTGCAGTCCAGCACACTGAGGGAGTAAAGTCACTCGTCTTCTCCTCGGGACCTTTCAGAGACTTGACCTAACCCTGAATCAAGATGTCCACTAAGCGCAAAACTCAGGGAAGCTTAATTCCCAGTATTCATACAGGCACCAGAGATCCCACTCTTCTTCCAAGCATCTCCTTTGCATCTTCAGCTAGACTCCACTACCTGGAACCCATACTAAAGTTCACGTAAAATTAAACCAAAATAAAAGAGCGTGTGTAGTTTGTCGTTCCTCAATTGTAAAAAAAAATAAATAGAATCTAAAATAAATTTCATCTTCTTTCCCCCGTCTCCTCCTCCAAGCCATTAAAACTCCATTTCATTTGTTACTGAAATGATACAAGAATGATGACATATTTACCTGTAGCAGCAAGGGCATGTCTCAGTCCTGCAGCAACATCCATCACCTTCTCTTTGAGAGACTACTCAAGTAGAAGAAAAATATATTTTAGTCATTTTTTGTATTTAGTGCCTCTAAAAGCAAAATATGCCAAACACAGAAGTGGAACGCTATGAAAATAGTTCTTGCAATTCCAGCCTGCATGTTACAATGCATATCAACACCTTGTATCACCAAGGAAGTAAGTTTTGGCCAACAAAAATTAGTGGGAACATCTTTTAAAAAAAAAAAAAAATCAAGCAAAGCAACTGGATGTACAGCTTTGTGGCAATAAATAAAAAGCCACAATCAATATCCTCACATGAAAAAAGGAACCTTCTTGGCGATACAGATATGTTTATTTCTTAATTTTTAATTCAGCGTTCCTCAAGAATTACACCAAAACCTCCTCAGCAAATACCAGTGACAAGCAGTAATAAGTTCCATCAAGCTGTTCAGTCTTACCAAGTCCTCTGATCACAAACAATACAGTTGATAGTACCACCTACACCACTGAAGGTTGCCCAATACGATCATGCAAAAGAAGACTATACCGAGTCACGTGTGCATAAAATGAGTGACTTAAGTTTGCACAATTCTGGCACTTCTCCACTTCTGAGTACTCTGCAAATTTATTATTCTTCTCACAGATGTAACACTATTTAAAACAGATGGCATCAAGCCCAAGCATTTAACAGGACACAAACCAAAAGAGAAAATATTCCAGATAAACAAATGGTCCACCTGGTCAGGGAGGACACAGATTCAGATTAGCACTATCAATATTACCATTTTCAAGGCACCATACTGGAATGATGCTCCCAGGAAACATCAAAATACAGAAACATCAGGTGAGTTAATCCCCATTCACTAGGGGTTACCTAGGGGATCAGCTGTCCTTCCTCTCCTTCATTAAAAAAAGCAAAGGAGTATCCAGCATGAGCCATGAGGCTAAATTTCTTGTCTGAGAATCCTTTCTGCTCTGAAGTTATTGCTTTCATTAGACATGAGAGGTCATGTGGCTGGAAAAGACTTTCATTAGTGTCCTCCAAATAAGAAACTACAGTGTAAATTAGGGATTAATTAGAATTCCTGTGAGAAATTTATTTAAACTGTTAGGCTTATAGCCAACAACAGGAAAGCTTTTCTCATGTTACAGAAGTCTCAGTATCTACTACTGAAAACATTTTAAAGCAATTAATTTGGGGCACTTTCCGAGCTCCCTACTCAAACTCAGCAGTGCCTCACCTACAAATATCACCATAGAATTCCACATGACTTACAGGAACAATATGAGCTATGCTATCAAAGTCCAGCATTTAGCATTCACAATTGAAGATACTCAACAACAGAGAAATTATCTAACTTTCCATCCTATTTCCTTGGAAGTTGATATTGTTTGGTAAATACTGGAGGTTAGATAAGAAGCGAGTCAATGTACTTGTCATTGTCAGTTCCTTTACATGCAAAAGTAAAAATCATTTTAATCTCAAAAGTGATAAAATTAAAGTTTATTCTCTCAGGTCCAGTTTTCCTGCAGCTACATACTTTCTAACATTTCTATTATTTTGGGAGTGACAAAGCTTATTTTTATCTAACTGTTTTAACAGCCAAGAAATAATACTACAGTCCTCATCTGAGGGAAGAAATTCTGGCAGTTATAAATACACTTAAAAAAACAACACATACTTAAAAATTAAACTGCTGCACAAGAAGCACGAGAGCAATAGATCAAAAAAATTGGCATAGCTAACTTTATTGAATTCTGTCATGCAGTTTGTTTTTTTCAGGGGTGGATTATTGTCGGCTCATTTTGGTTTCCTTTGAGCTGTTAAGCAAAAACCTCCAACAAAATACAGTGAAGGCACGTACTCTTCATGTAGCAAAACATACCTAGTCTCTTGCAAACTTGAGGCAAAACTTCAGCTGGAGTAAATTTGCACAGGTTCACTACCTTTAGTATTACTTCACATCATCTAAGCATCAGACTCGTTCTGCAGATGTTATCGAAATACATTATGAAATGTTATAAACCGTAGTGGAAAGGGACAACTTTCTGTTAGAAGTGGGTAGCTTCTTTGTACAATAAGAAAAGCAGCCTTAGCTTCTCATTTCTGGGTCAACGACCATCTTCGGTCCTTTACTTTGTAAGTTTACTCTAACAGATAGACTCTATAAAAAATAGTTGAAGAGTCTGGCTTAAAGCCCACTGAGGTCAGACAACCTTTGTAAGTTGCTGGAAGCAATATAAAGTACAGAGCTCTGAAGCACAATTCCTTTTAAATCTTTACCTCAATCTTCTGTGGAATCAAGCACGGACTTGATATTTGAGGAACTCCTAATTGTCCAAAAGAGTTAGACCCACAGGACAGAACTAGGCCAGATCCTGCAAAATGAAGTGTTAGAGCCCTATCAGTAAATCTGTGAGCAAAACCAAAGCAGTGTAACATTCTAACAAGCAAAATATCACAGCCAAGTAGCTCAAAAAAGGACTTAATATGTCCCGTTCCAAAGTCTCTGAGGCTATAGGCTCTGATCTTACACATCGTGTTCAGTAAAGGTCTGAAGTTCACTGGGATACATGGAACATGGAGTAGTTTAGTTTGCAAGGCAAGTAGCTTAAAACCTGTGAGTGCCTGTGCATCGCACAAGCAATAGCAATGTGGAACTTTCAGCGTGTTCTCTACATCAACATATTTCTCCAGCTCTTACAGAGACAGATTTACCTACTAATATGATTGTAAAATCCCAGCCACAAGCAACTTGTTTTACACAAAAGCCGGACAGGGCAGCGCACAAAGTAAAATGCAGTACATCCTCTGTATGATTCAATCCCAACTGCCCGTCTTTGTTACGGCCACATACAAAGAGTTCTCCCACACCTGGAAGAAAAAACAAAACAAACAAAAAAAATCACGTTCCACTTCACAGACTAAAAAGACAAGCGTACATGCCATGAGATCCTGTGACAAATAACGACAGTGATTATGTGTCATTTTAGGCACTGCAATCAAGCAAAAAGAGAGAGAAACAGATATTTCTGATGCATCAGAAACACCTCTGAATAAGCACAGCTATATAGAGTTGGGTTTGTCAAGGGACACAATTCATATGGTAAGACAGGCACCTCTCACTAAGATCCACAATGAAGTTTTTCATCCCGTTCACATCTGTCTGTATCCTTTCTTTCCCATAATTAGCTACAGCATACAGCAGAACCTTTCAAAGACCAGATATTATCTTCTGCTCCTTACCTTAAAACTTCTCAAGATTGAATAACCTCCCACTTGACCCCTTCCTCCCACTGCCCCATCCTCTATACAGAAAAATCGGTTGCTTTGTATGAAAAGCTGTGATATGAAACAGGCTAAGAAACAGTCCTCACATAGCCATAAAGTATATGCAAACCAGGAATTTCCCCAATTTCCCCCAAACATTGAGTTAATTGGCATGGAAGAATCCTGTTTTGCAACTAAGAACTGGTACTTGCTCAGAAACAGAAGCCGCAGATAGGCGGTAGCACCAAATCAACAGGTAAACATAGGGGAAGAAAAAAAAAAAAATGTGTTTAGAAGTCATACACTCCTTGCAAGTGCAATGTTTTTACCAGTGATAACCGCAGAATGTCCCCCTCCTCCAGTAATGCTTTTAATGTCTTGACATTTGCAGGAAGTATCTTTCAGTGACTGAGGTACCAGCACATCCTCTTTATGACCAAGACCAAGTTGTCCATGGCTGTTTGCACCCTTCAAATACACACAAAAAAATGTTAACTTTTTAAAAAATGTGTTAAAAAGAGATACGCATCTGCTCCTAAGAGCTAACAAGCTTATCGGGGACATGTCGCAGGTTAACCTGCCAGTATTTGCTCCTGAAAATCCCCTAAAATGGCAATCTTCATTCTTACTGCTGTGACACAGGACCCCCAGAATTACAGACCAGGACTGTCCTAAATTTGCTGTCGTTAAGGCTGCCCTTGTAACCCCAGCATTTTAAGAAACATACCAGAATATATCCTGGTAAGACTTTAACTGCAGGCTAACAGTTACTAAGGAGGAAAGCCTCATTATCAGGATGATTACTACCTGTTTAGTTTTAATGCTGAGGATTCCCACTCATCCCTAAGATCTTATTCATGCCAATGCTTTCTGGCAGTCCACCTCCAAAACGAGATCAGAAAGACATGCTTATTCTGGAACCTAAACAAGTAAAGCAGAAACACTTATCCATCATTTACTAAGTCTTTTAACTTAAAGTGGTCAAAATGAAAATATACCAATTACGATTATTATAAATTTATAAGTACAAAATTATAGCTTCTAAACCAATCATAGAAAGCAACCACTGACAATGTGGTAACGTGTCAGGAAATTTTTTAGCTAATTTAAGCTCTATTAAGCATCCACCAGTTTGAACAGCAACCTTCATTCACAAAGGTGGATTCAGTAACTTTCCTAGCCCACACATTGCAGTAACAGCAACACTCAACACCCACATTGCCCCCAGGTGGTGAGCCCCAGGGGGACTTTCCCTACCTCACCTGTGCCCACC